ACTTTCTTGCTCAGGCCCCAGATTAAGATAGTAAATCCCAGATCTGAATGAAGCCTGGCCTGAATATTTATATAGGTCCCTTCAAGGGTGGGACAAGGTTCATTTCCACCTGCACCGTAACATTATATTCAATAAGTCTGAGATGTGAAAGGAGTGGTTAAGAGCCTAGCTCCAATTTAACTTCCTTTATCCATTCCAACTCTGCTGGGTTTCTGCAAATTATGTAGATAAAATTAACATATGTTCAAAAGATTTACTGTGAATGACTAAGGGAATTTTTCCTTTTATTCTTCAGTATGAGCGCAAGCCTACGGTTTATACACAAGTTTTCTTTCAAAAAAAAGTGCAAAAGACCATGTTTGCAAATGTATGCTATCTACCATTAGTCATGTTCAGGGAGTGAAATTATTTTCTCTTTACAGGTTCAGTGGAACATCAATAATGATGATGAAATAATTCTCACGGTTGATGGAAATATTGTAACTGTTACAGGTGAGAGTGAATAGTTTAACCTTGACATTATTCATTCCAATTTGCAGCACTCATAAGCTAAATGCATAAGCACTTAAGCAATTTAAGGCGTTGCTAAGAATACTCAAAACAGATATTTTGGGGAATTTATGGAATAGTTACTCAATTTGGATGCAGAATAGGCACGAGGTTGGTAACATGCTTGCAGCTGTTTCCCAAATCATCAAATGGGAGACTCAAATTTCTTTCCCCGTAAGGCCTCAATTAAATATCTTTGCTGAGCCGATTTCTCTTGTCAGAAAATTGCACTGTATAGTATGTTGGTGAACAGTGTGTGGTAAAATGGATCCTGCCAGTGAGGCATTTTTTGGGGCTGTAGTGACAATTGGTAAGCAGCAGAACAAAAAAAATTATAGAATCTCAAGGAGCAGTCTTGCTGCTCCTGCCCCCAGAAACAACTTTGATTATGTCCTCACAACAGTTGTCTTTTGGGTGAGGCATCCAACATTTGCTTTGCTTCTTGATTTTCTGACCTATGGTTCTACTTTCTATAGCTGTATGTAACTTCTTTCTCTTAATTTCTCTAATCTGTAACGAAGGATTGTGCCTCAGTACTCTGTACGTAAGATGGCACCTTGTTTTGATAATTTTGTAACTGTAACTAGTCTTGTAACTGAAGAAGCTGTCCCTAGGTGGTTTTGTACCGAAGATAGCACTGTATGTGACAGCTTATAAACTTTCACTGTACTCATTTGAGTACATGTGACAATAAAGCTAATTCAATTCAATTCAATTTCCTTTAAGGTAGTTCAGCCACTCAGAAAGATGGAAGTAAAATGCACGCCCCACACTTTTTTTTTAAAGTTGTAATCGGGTCCCTAACATAGGAATTAAATCCTGATCTGCCATCTAATAAATCTTTGAGATGGTTTGGGCCAGAGTGCTGGAAATCCCTTTAAAGACCTGCCTGAAAGTCAATTCAGGCGATCAAACGGTTGCATAATGATATCATCGGTCTTTTATAAATTGTTCAGCTGTTTTTTTGGTGAGAAACCTGAAATCAGTAGTCAAAGCCTTGCTCAATTCTTAGTTGAAATTACAAAGTTCAAAAAGCTAAAAAGAGTCTCAACTATTGAAAACTCCATGTTTTTGTATAAATTGCAGCATTGTTACAATTTTCAAAGATCCGACATTGGGATCAGTAGAACTCATTCATGTTTATGAATGGATGGCTAAGTTTTTTTAAAAAAATACATGCTCAGTTAAGTTGATCCCAGGCTCTATTAATAAGTGTAAAATCTTTATTAACAGGAATACATGCTTATCAAATTCTTACGGTTTACAGAACTGTGTTTTAATTATGGAAAAATGATCTGCTCGTGGGTTTGATCCTCACATTAATTACAGTACATATTGATACTTTTCCATTGTATTTTTTTAGATAATGTTATGATTTTAATTGAATATCTCACACTTGAACTTGCCAATATGATGGACAAAACATAAATTCAATTTTTGTGATCATTCTTCTTTACAGAAAATTCTACCTTTATAAATGAAGTGACCGTACAAAAGACAACTGACAATGAAATTGTGGCTGCCTTTGAAGGTGGAACGTCCATTACTGTTTCAGGAACAAAGGGGACTTTAGCTTTCACGACTTCACTAGATAATTCTTTAAAAAATAAAACTGAAGGTCTCTTGGGTGAGTAAAGACACCACTTTTAAATTGTGTCCTTATTACAACTTAAATAATGAAAATGTCCATAAAATAAATGGATTGTTACATTTTTAATTTCACATTCCAAAAGCAGAATACTTTGCTGGAAATCTGAACTGAAAACAGAGGATGCGAGAAGCAATGCAGCAGGTCTGGCAGGTCTCTGTCAAGAGAGAAACAGCTTGGACCTGATTTTAACTCTGTGCAAGTAAATGGGTTTTGAGTAACTTACAAACTTACCCATTCACCTGCACAATTAAGTTGGAATCCATTGCTGGGTTACTCTTTCCACAGAAGTACTAGATCTGATAAGTATTTCCAACGTTTTCTATACTCCAAAGATTCAAGAAAATTCAATTTTAACACAGATGACCTGGTCTGTCATTTTTTAGACAGGAACAAAAACCCTTCCCCAACATAATTTCCCGAACATAACACCGACGATACTACTACTGGAAAATATAACACTGGTTTAGTGACTGGGCATAAAAAAAAACAGTGGCCCTTCCAGCCTTACCATTGCAAAAGTAACAAACACAGAAAGGTAATTAACAATTTAAGCAATGGTTCAGAAACAGCAATATTGGATGGACTGACCTTTACACACCCAATCTGAAATCAGCTACTGTGTATAACGCGTGTAAAAACTATTTTATTGTACTTTTGATTGTAGACTTAAATGGGAAAAGGATTGGTTTAAAAATGCAAGAACCATGGTTAGGGATTGTTGTCCTTTTAAAAGCAGGCTACCAGCACTGACTGTAAGTGCTGTTCACAGTATTGTTTATGGTTTACAGATAGTAGGAACTGCCGATGCTGGAGTCTGAGCTATCAAGGTGTAGAGCTGGTTTTTGGTTCGCGTGAATGAAACACAAATGATTCGGAGGAGTCTTCACTGGATAGTTGTTGAAAGGATGGTTCCTGTTGTGGGAGAATCTAGAACTAGGTGTCATAGTTTAAAAATGGACATAGACATTTAAAACATAGATGAGAATTTCTTTTTCCTCCCAGAGGATTTGTCTTCAAAAGGAAGTAGGTGCAGAATGCTAAGATTTTTAATGCACAGACAGATAGATTCTTGATTACCAAGGGGAGGAAAGATTATTGGGGATATGTAGGAACGCAGAGTTGAGATTACAATCAGATCAGCCATGATTTTAGTGAGTGGCAAATCAGGCTTAAAAAACTGAGTGGCCTATTCTTGTTCCTTCTTCATCTGTTCATAACCATTGAGGGAAGATTAGTTGTACAGGAACTGGCACCACGGGGTATGTATCAAGTAGGATTCAGCTGACAACAAGTAATTAATTGGTCTGTAAAACTGTGATTGGTTGTCGATGGCAAAAATTTTCTGAATGCCAACAACTGTGTAATCGGCTCCCCAGCAGCTGAGTAATTTGGGGGTTTGAATGGCATAGCCATGACACTTCGGATTTCCAGAAACGAAGATGCTGTCTTTCTGCAGTAAAAATTATCTCGAGCCTGAAAAAGACCAGTTTAGTTTCCCTAATTGGTTACTGTAAACTGTGGCTTTTGAACAGTAAGTCACAGATGTTGTCGGTTGTGAACCAGTCACTCTGTGCCTCCTGCAAACAAGTGAAAAGAGATTGAAAGTGATTGAAAGTATTTTCCCTCCACTCATAGCTTCAACGATTTTTGTGTCTGACTCTGTCTGTGTACACAGGGTTTAGTGTTTTAACAAGTAGAGATGTAGATCAACAGTTCATAATTGTTTACTTACAGCTGGAATCGATTCAATTGTAATAAACGTTAATTCTTGTTAAGTACAGAAACCTGGTCTATGCTTTTTGTTAACCTTGATCTAAAAAGACAGGAAACTTCAGGAATTTTGTATATTTTGATACACTCTTTTACTTTTGTGATGATTCCAGGAATAGCAGGTCATGATTTCTGGTGTGCTGCCCCAATGAGTTGTGACAGGTGCTTGCTTCAATGTCGCTGAAAGCAAAAATTGGTTCTATGGTGATAATCTTAACTTTTATCTCTGAGAGAAGAAACATTTGAAGTTTAGCTTCAATATTGTTTTGCATTTTCCATATTTTTGCTGTTCACATTTTCAGTGATAACATGATTTAATAATTATAACAATTCAGAAGCAGAATAATTTGTTGGAACTGTTCTTGGCTTTCCATGTACTGCAAAAAAATTTTCTATTTCTACCTTTAGGTCTTTGGAATGACGATAAAACAGATGACTTTAAAGCCGCTAATGGAACATACCTTGACTTTGATGGAACAAATTTGCCCACAGATGCTCAGATATTTTTTGATTTTGGCTTGACATGTAAGCACAGCTTTTACATATTTTAAAATACAATTCCTAACATGGATAATTGACTCAATAGCTAACTAATTATGTGATGTTGTTTGATTATGTGTGTTTTTTTTAAGGGAAAACAACTGTGAACAACAGCGTATTCACATACAATACAACCACAGGAGAGTCTTGGTACACATATAACAACAACAGTTTTGAACCTTTGTTTTATGATGAGCTTTTGCAAACTACCGAAAAAGAGAAAATTGACAAAGCTAATGAAACTTGTAAAGGAGATGATGACTGCATTTTTGACGTTTTAAGTACAGATGATTTATCATTTGGAGCAGTTACATTACAAAGTGTGACAACATTTGCAGCACAGAACAGCACAATGAGTACGTACGCACATCTGTTGAAAAATTGAAGTATTGTTGACATATACTCATCCATAATGTTCACTAGATCAGTGGTTTTCAATCTTTATTTTTGCTGAAGAAACCTTTCAAATCGTTGAATTGGATAAGAGAGAATGCGTAGGTTCATGCCATTGCTAATCCTTTGGAGCAGTGCCTCCAAAATCTTTGTAATCTGTTGGAGGACAGATTGCTGGAATACTGACTGTTTGTGCCAGGATCTAACCTGCTGCTATCAGGCCTTAAAAACATTTGGGTACCTTTAAGACCTGGAAGCTAGTTGGATCACAACTGTGCTCAATGCTCTGACCTTATCAGAATTCAGTTAGACAGAGGATGAGAACAAAGAAGCAGCATGAAATTTGTATACTGACTGCCTGAGTGGTATCAGGCAAAGACCGGTCATGAACTGCAATGTTTGCTGACAAAGTTTAATCTACGCAGCCCTGAATGTATTTGAATTTCTCATGTCTGAAAAATGACACCATGTCGTGGTGTCCATTCCCTTAAATTTGTTTATAAAATTAAAAAAAGACTTCTCGCTGAAGGCTTTCAGTAACATTACTATCATATTCACAGATAATTTCCCACCTAACATCACTGGAGATTCAACCATTCAAACTCGTCTTGATGAACCAGTGTTTGTTCTTTTTGCTGCAACTGATAGCAATGATGATGAGGTGACATTTTCAGTGGTGACTGATTCTCCAGATATCACAATTACAGGTAACGTTGGACTATCTATGATTTTATCTGGTGCATTTATTGGTTCTAGTCACCTACTACTTTGGCATTTAATCTGAACCAAAAATTATATTGTGAAGATGCATTGATGTTTAATTAGGGATACTGGAAGTAAGGGGAGAGTCAACAAATGATAGAAGAGAACAAACTTGTAGACGGAAATGATAGTATATATATGCTTTGACTAAGTTTTCACAGAAGAGTTGGATGCCAAAATTGTAGAAATGCCTGAAGTGAGTGCAGAATGTTCAGTATTCAAAGCAACCTATTACAGAAGTTATTCAGAACCCAATTGCTTTTGTCATAAAACCTTTATGACATTGTGGCTGTTATCCCTAAAATTCAAATTCCTTCTACTGTAACAAAGACATGTCTGATTGAATGAGTATATTTAATAACATACCAAGTCTAACTAAATGCTGTAATGGGATTTTATCTGTGGGTTTCATGAGAATCACAGTATAAAAAGAGATGAGGGATATTGTCTAGATGCAAAAAATTGTGACTGAGGGTTCAGGCACTTCCTTCTATTTGGTTGTTGGTTATTATTATGGTATGGACCATGGTGTTTTCCTTAGTATATCATCAAATATTCATCAATCCTTACCGCCAAAATTGATTACTTTATCATTGATTTCAACGTAGTTTACAAAATAATGAGGGGAAGAGATAGAGTTAATGGCAGTTGTCCCTTGGATGGGGGAATCTCAAAACTAGCGGGCACATTTTTAAGGTGAGGGGAGGGAGATGAATAGGAGGTACATGAATAGGAAAGGTTTGGAGGAATATGGGCCCAGGGGCTGGCAGGTGGGACTAGTTTAGTTTGGGATCATGGTCAGCAAAGACTGGTTGGACTGAAGGGTCTGTTTCCATGCGAGATGACTCCATGACTATGTATGAGACCTTGCTATCCACGAATTATCTGCTGCATTTCCTTCCATTATAGCAGTGACTACAGTTTAAGATTATTTAGTTGTCACTGAAGTATCCAGTCCCATCTACGAGGCACAAGTCAGGATTGTGATGCACTTCTCCCCACCTGCCTGGATAAATGTAGCTCCAACAACACTTAAAAAGTTTCATGTACCTCACCCATCATCTTAAACATTCGCACACTTCACCACAATGCATAATGGTAGCAGGGTACCATCTACAAAATGCACTGCAGTACCTCACTAAGGTTCTTTCAGCAACATCTACCAAACCTGTGACCTCTGCCACCTCGAAAGACCAGGATAGCCAGCTTTCAGAGTGAACAGGATGTCTGACACTTCTGTCAGCCAGGACTCCTGGATTAACAGCCCCAATCAGGGAACTCATATTCTGACATCCATCTGGCTGACCTTTTTACAATCACTACAGTTTGGAGTGTATCACCATCTTCCATTGCAGTGCTGCTGCCAGCCACTTTGCATGCAAGAACAAGCACCCTTTTCACACATCAGAACAAGGTTTTTTGTTCAGCGTTCTTAGCTTGCAGTCTTAGAGTTCACACACTCTGAGCTAACTTGAAAGTTCAAAGCATCTCTGCCTTGACTCTGTTTGTTATGAATTGCAACCTCATTCCGAACATACAGCCTCACAATACTTCCACCTTGCCTTGCTGTTTAGCAGAGACATAAAGCCAGGTAGTTTGTAATCTTTGCCAAGAATGATCAGTGGAGGGGGTGGACATGTTACTGTACATGACCATGCTACATCAATTTCACCCTCACCCTAACCCTACAAATGTGGCAGCACCATGTGCTTCAACCAAATGACCATGCATCAAAGTCCAAGAGAACCAGTCTTTAGTCAAATTAAGGGGGACTTTTGTCAAACAAGGGATGTGCCCTGTCAGTCGCGGACATCTTCCAACCTCAGTTCATGGTGATTTGGCCACTTAAGGCAGTCAGGATCAGGGGTTCCATATCATTACTGTCAGGAGATTGGGCCATAGTCAGTCCTGCCATTTCAGTGCAAACCGTCCAGAGTTAGAGGTAAATTAGTCAGGGACTGCACACATATCATCAGTCGTGCATTCAAAGGTCACTCGTGTCTGCTGATCCAAGTCAGTCAGCCATGGGGGTCTGTTCACTAAAAGTCAAGAGGGGTTTAACAGTGGCTACTGCTGTTGTGAGCAAGTTGAGGAAGTAAATTGTGGCGTTTGGAGGCTGTTGAGCTCACGATATCACAGGCATGGTGCCATACAGGCGTGTTGCATGCATAATAAGGTGAGCAGAAAAGAATTGCATAAAATAACTTTCCAGTCCTCACAGAGAGAAACTCTCCATGAAATTCCCTGAAATAGATACAGCCAATTTTTGGTAAAATTTACCTAAAGTTTAATTGAAATGGTCATGTGGTAGAGTAAATGTTATTGTACACTTTTGATGTAACAGATTTTGTTGAGCCAAAATCATGCACCTTGTACTCGTTAAATGGAGAATGGTGAATTTCAAACAGTTGTTTGAAGAGTTACATGCAAAAAGCTTAACACTGATGCCTGGTTCCCATCAGTTAATACGCTTTATAATACTAAGTAGGACCTCTGCTTCTAGTTTTCTTATGTTCTTTAGATTATTCTGTTTTTGGGGTAAATTGACATTTTGTAATTGGGATTTTAAAAACCCAGATATGAATAGACAGTTTTTTTTTCTGAAAATTATTCATGAGTTATTTCTTTATTTATAGAAAAGGGAAACTTTTCTTGGAATCCAACAAGCTCCGCCCCAGTGTTTGCCATAATACAAGCAAATGATTCTAAAGCTGTTTCTGTGTTAGGATTGACGCTTGTATTGTGCAACTGCAGTATCAATTCAACTTGTGATTATTCCAGATCAATTTTGACCGTGGGAAAAAACAATACTGTTTTTAAGGTAAGTTAAATGAAAGGCATGAATCATTTCACACTAAAGTTATGTGATAGACCATATTCAGTCACTGAAGCAGTCTGTGTCTATATTTATCAAGACCTGAGCAGCATCCAGTAACATTCACATCTCACAAGTGCCAGGCAACGATCATCTCAAACAAAATAGAATCTAACCATCTTCCTTTGAGGTTCAACATCTTTACCATCACTGAGTTCCCCACTATCAATATCTTGGGTGTTATCAGTGACCAGACAAACATTAGCCAAAAAATACTGTGGCTATGAAAGCAGGTCAGAATCCATGGGTTATGATATTATATGACCAGTCTGGGTGCCCGCCTCTTAATATAAAGGTTTGGTGGATACCTCTGAAATAGGCAGCCTGCTGATATATGAAAAAAATACATATAATGATAACAATAATACATGTTGCTACAAGTTCAGATGATTCCAATATTTTGATGCTGCCTGTGCTATAATACCTTTGGCATGGACAGTTATGTGGGAGGCAGATTTATTTATATTTAAATGGTTAAAACAGTGGGAAGGGTGTGCATTCATTTGAAGATGCCTCTTGCCAAAGGGAGACCCCATGAGAAGATTGCACTCTACCCTTCTCTCTTTCCCGCACAATCTTTAAATCCCACACCACCGCACCTGTCTTCTCCACTTTCTTTTTAAATTCATTCATGGAATGCCTAGGCCAGCATTTATTGCCCATCCCTAATTGCCCAAGGAGCAGTTAAGAGTCAACAACATTGCTGTGACCCTGCAGTCACTTGTAGGCCAGGCCAGATAATGACCACAGTTTCCTTCCCAAAAGTGCATTAGTGAACCAGACCCAATCCAAAGCTCATACACTTGCCTGGATCTGGGATCCATGTGTTCTCCTGTACGGGTCTGCCTGTAGTCCTGGCAGCATCACCATGAAGCTGCTGGTCAGTGGCAGTAATTCTACCATCAGTTTGTTTAACCCAGCACCTAATTGCCACAGGACAGGCCACTAATTGACCAGTCTACTGGCCACTGGTCTGCTGGCCACTGACTTATTTTCCTAATGTTCCACCTTATTAATTCATCAATAGGTAAATAATTCCCCTCCGAATTTCTTAAAAATTATCCATCACCTCCAAAGCACAGTCAGGAGTCTGATGGAATACTTTCCACCTGCCTGGATGAGTATAGCTCCAAGAATGTTCAAGAAGCTCAACACCACAAGACAAGGCAGTTTACTTGATTGGCCCCCATCCACCACCTTCAACATTCTCTCCCATCACGGTGGCAGCAGTGTGTACTATCTACATGTTTCACTGCAGAAACTCACCAAGGCTCCTCCAACAGCACCTTCTAAACTAGTGACTGCTTCCAACCTGACTTGGCACTATATCTCCACTTCTTCACTGTCACTGGGCCAGAATCCTGGTACTCCCTTCCTGTCAGAACTGTGGGAGTAGCTACACCCCAAGGACTGCAGCAGTTCAAGAAGGCAGTTCAGCAGCAATTTCTCAAGGACAGTCAGGGCTGGACTAATAAATGCTGGCTAAGCTACCGAAGGCCACACGTCATCAATGAATTAAATAATACATAGTGTTACTGAGAGATAACGTAGGTTTATTGGGGGAACCCAAGAGTATCTACAATTGGACTGATACATCATAAGATGTAGGCTGTTTTATTCCATTGTTTGTACAGTTGTGGAGAGAAGGAATGGTATTCCATTGAAAACCGATATAAATCTAAAATCTGTCTGTTTGGCATTTAGATCCCAGCATGTAATTGTACCCCTGCCTACACGGGTGATTACTGCACTGAGGATTTTGATGCTTGTCAAGATAACCAATGTTTCCTGAATGACACTTGCAAAGACCAACCTGCACCATTGGAGGGTTACACCTGTGATCCCTGTCCAGATAATTTAAGAGGAGATGGGATTAAATGCTATGGTGAGGATAAATTCTCCTTTCTCAGAAACATAAAGTATGTACGCAATGATAAACGCTAAAAATTAGAAATAAGTCTTCACTTCTAAAATTCTGCTGGAATGTATTAATGCAGTTATATGTGTACCTTACCTCATGAATTGTTCTGCATGTTCTACTCTTGAATGTTTTATTAATGTTTCTAGAATATATAGAATACAAAGGACTAGATTTCCAACTCAGAGGTGGTCCCACCACTGCCTTGAGACGGGCAGCAAGTGGGACCATCCCAGGCTCCTGGCCCTAGGTGACCTATAGACAGGTCAGCCCTCAAAGGCAACAGACCTAAAGTGGGAATGGGAATGGGATGAGTCCAGGGATGAGCTATTATTTTAGTGAAATTTAATTCGGGAGGAAAATTAAAATGACGAGAAATGTTCTACCTGATGTGATCACTTAATCAGTTACAAGTTAGAAAGGGTAAAAAAAGGAGTTAAACACTTGGCACTGTAGAAAGATAACATCAACATATTCAATACTGTGATGCAGATAACAGACATAAAGGCTGAAGGCATTTTAACATAAAATTATGTGAACTCTCAAAACCCTATTCCCAGAGATATTTTGATTAAAAGCAATCTGCAATTCAACCCATTTTACATGCTGAAGAAGTTACCATTTTGAATGCTGTACATCAAATGGAATTTATGAAATTATATTTAAAACAACTTAATGTAATATCCCCAAGTTTGCAGATGACAAAGTTAAATGGGAGGGTGAGCTGTGAGCAGGATGCAGAGATGCTGTAGTGTAATTTCAGCAAGTTAAGGGAGTGGACAAATGCATGATAGATGCAGTATGATGAAGATAAATGTGAAGTTATCCACTTTGGTAGGAAAAACGGCAAGAGATAGATTGAGAAAGGGGAGGTGGAATGAGACCTGAATGGCCTTGTACACCAGTCAAGGAGAAACAAAAATACTGGTGCAGCATGTGGTGACGAAGGCAAGTTAAGCATTGACTTTCATAGTGAGATAATTTGAATACAGGAGTAGGACATCTAGCTGCAATTCTACAGGGTGTGACCACATCTGGAAAATCGTGCGCAGTTTTGGTCTCCTTATCTGAGGAAGGATATTATGGCTACGGGGGTGGTGCAACGAAGATTTACATGTCTAATTCCTGGGATGGCAGGACTGACATATGAAGACATACTGGATTGGTTCGGACTATATTCATTGGTATTTGGAAGAATGAGGTGGGGTGGGGCAATCTCCGAGAAACTTGAAAATTCTAATTGAACTAAACAAGGTAAACACAGGAAGGATGTTTCTGATGACTGGGGCATGCAGAACGAGGTGTCACAGTCTAAAACAGTCTAAAATATACACGTAGGTTACTTAGGACTGTGATGAGGAGAGATTTTTTCACTGAGAATGGGGAGCTGTGGAACTCTCAGCAACAGAAAGCGATTGACCCAAAACCTTTGGATATTTTTCTCGAATTTATGGAATACAAAGGACCAGATTTCCAACTCAGGTGGTATTGGATGACAGGGTAATCCCATCATTCTAATCCCAAGAAGAAGTTAGATTTGGTTCTTAGGACTAAAGGGATCAAAGGTATGGAGAGAAAGTGGGAATAGGGTACTGAGTCGGATGATTAGCCATGATTATATTGAATAATGGAGCAGGCTTAATGGACTGAATGGCCTAACTCTTCCTCCAATTTTCTAGGTTTCTAAAACACAAATTTGTCCTGGTTCAATTTTGCAATGGAGCATATCCACAGAGAAAGGCATTTGCAGACCAGTAGAGATTTTGAAAATAGTGAAGTAACATCCATGAAGATAGATTTAGAATGTCTACCTTAATGAATGGAATTTTGTTTAGAAACAAATAAAGCTTCTGACTTTTTAGCAGCTGTCTTACATTCTTTTGTTTGGCATTTTAGACTTAGATGAGTGCCAAGAAAATACGCACACTTGTGAACAGATCTGCACAAACGTTTTTGGAGGATTCAACTGTAGCTGCAACCAAGGTTACACAATAAATACATCAAACAGCTCCCTGTGTACTGGTAAGATACCAATACTTATCATCTGACTGAAATGACTTATTGCTGATGAAAAGGATGGATAAAGATACAAACACTACCATGTCATTTAAGCAGCCTAAAATACATATTGTCTAAATATACAATGGTAGAATTAGTTTTATTCAAATTATACTGTAGAAATTATTTGCAAAAGTCAATAAATTCAAAGTGATTATCCATAATGCCAAAATGGCAACCAAGAATAAGTTGTAGATCACCCCTCATTCTTCTAAACGCTAATGAATAAAGGCCTAACCTGTTTAGCTGCTCTTGATAAGTCAACTCTTTCATCCCAGGAATCAGCATGGTGAATCTATTCTAACTTGCCTCTAAAGCCAGAATAGGCTTTTTTAAGGACAGGTACCAAAATGACTTTACGCCTTGCCAACACCGTGGACTGTTGTAACAAGACTTCCTTGTTTTTAACCTCCAATCCCTCTGCAATACTGGCCAATCAAAGGCTGGCAAAACCTTAATCACCCACTGCCTCTAAGAGCAGTGGTTGCTGATGGCAATACACCACCTGAGGCCCAAGATTATCAGAGAACCCCCATTCCAAAGTGGATAAAGGTAGAAACGGGTCGTGGGGTGAGGGTCAGGAAGGGGCAGCAGATGGTTTTCAGTGGCCAACACCCTCCCCAAAGCTAGATCCTCAATTAGGCAGAGAGGACCTGATTACATACAAATGCCAGTAGACTGTGTGGGACAGCTTTGCAAACTTCCAATTAATCTCAGTGTCAAGGAAAATGGTTGTCCATTGGCTCATTAAAGAGAATCATTAACTTCCTATAACCAGTGAACCAATATGACCTTCCAGCCCTTTCCTGCCTCTGAAATAATTGGGGATAGGTTTACTGCTAGTAAGAGACAGAACACCCACAACTGGGCAAGCTCAATGGCAGATACCCATCCCAACAGGCCGCACTAAAACCAGCCCTTCTTTCTTCTACATCTACCCCAAGATAAAAGCAATGTACTGTACCAGCACACACCCCTGATACAAACTTTACACTGTATTCCATTCCAGTGAAAGAAGTATCTAATTAATCATGTGTGTGAAAATACCAAAGACAAAAATTGAAAATTTATGCATATATCTCATTCAGAATAACGCGTATTAAAGAGGACCAGAAACCTGTGGAAGTGAGCAGTGGCTCACAGTAATTATTTCTATCCTGTTTCAGACATTGACGAATGCAGCAATAACTCTACATGTCCCCAAAATGCAGACTGTCACAATGGAATGGGCAATTACTCATGTGTATGCAAGGCTGGATACGAAGGAGATCCATTCAGGTTCTGCATTGGTATGACATCTCCTTTAATTCAGTACTTAATATGTAAGGCACAACACATATGGTAGTGTATAAAAAATTATGCATAAATGCATTAACATTGACATGACGTGCAAATTAATTTTGTCACAACTACCTTTTTGACACACCATTGCCAAAACAATGTAAACCTATCTATTCTGTTTATTGGAAGAATAAAACATTCCGATCGTACTTTTGAGATGTAATCTTTCTGCTCTTAAATGGACAGATGGGTACATCATCATTTCTTGAGTTCTATAAATACAAATTCTCCTGCAGGATGTCCTCATTAAAATCATAATATACTCATCATTGTAGGTACAGTGTAACTTTTAAATTATTGTTTGTTCTTCCACTAACTACAGAGGTCTTTGTGAGACCATCCTCTCCTACTTGGCAACGTTCATCATAATTAATTAATAATAACCTTTATAATCTAGAAATGTAGAATTTCTATCACTTTCTAGCAAGAGAATGGATACTGAGCTTACTCCTGGAATTTAGTTCTTGCATCAGTGCCCAGCCTACAACAACATGCATGCTATAGGTTAAAAGCAAACCCTTTCTTCAATATCCCAATACTCCCAACTCACTGGAGCTCTCCTTCATGAATTAACTTGATTTTTGTTTTACCAAGTAGTCATTCTTACAGTATTTCTGAATAAAGCTGGCAATTAGAGCCAAACCTCAATTTATAATAATATCTCCATAGTGTTATCGAGCCATACAGCATAGAAACAAGCCTTTCTGCCCACCACATTTTTGCCAACCAACAAACACCAAACCTCACTAATCCCTTATATCTGCGCTGGGTCTAAAGCCCACTATGCCCCAGCATTTTCAGTACTCATTCAGACTCTTCTTAAATATTGCAAGATTACCTGCCTCCGCCACCCCCTCGGGCAGCATGATCCACAATGTTCCTACATCATCAGAACGGCAGCAGAGTAGGGCTCGTGAGCCAGGCTAGTCCACTCCAATGGCTTCTCTTTTCTTCTCTTCTCTTGTTTTTTTTTCTCTTTTTCTCCCTTCCTTTACTCAACCTTTGTTCTGAGCCTGGACAGCATCAGCCGCAGTGAGTGATCTCAGCACGGACTTGGGTGATCCCAGTGTGGACCTCGTGGCAGCAGCGAGTGAACTCAGCGCAGACTCGAGTAAGCCCCTACCTACTTTCCTGGCGAGCACAGGACCTGGCATCAGAATCAGTGGCTGCTACATTGGCAAGGGTGAGGTAGGCCCAGTGGTGAAAGATGACACCTGAGGATCGATGACTTCATTATTGGTGAGTCCGGCAATGGCAACACAGAAACAGTGGTGAAGGGCATCGCAGTGACAGCGATGACGTGGGCCCAGCGATAAGAGATGCGACTCTGGCATTGGTGGGTCTGGCGCAGGCAGTGGCGAGCCAATGGTGGTGGAGAATCAGATCAGCAGCAAAAGATGGTACCTGAGGAGAGGGGACTTCCACGTTGGTTGGATCCAGTGCAGGCAGCAGCGAGATGGTGAAGGAGAGTTGGTGGCACAGGCGTTGTTGATGATCAGCTGGCTCAGAACTTATGGACTCTTTCAGTTAGATATTTTTCTTTTCTTGTTCTTAACCCTATTCAAAATGGCACTGGATCGTGGCAACGGTGGAAAAGCTTTTCACTGTATTTTACTGCTTTTCTCACTGTAAAATACATGTGACAGTAAAATCATTAATTCATACCTAACACTCTCTAGATGAAAATATTTTTTCTCAGATGTCCTCTTGACTATTTGCTTCTCAACTTACACTTATGCTGTTTGGTCTTAGACAAGTCTGCCACTGGACAAAGATTATCACGATCTACTCTGTTTCTCCCAATTTTGATCAATAAGATTCCCCCCTCAGCCTCCTCTGTTCCAAGGAAACCAGACCCAGACTATCCAGCTGTGACTCATAATTTTAAAAATTGTTTCAAACTGCCGTATTATGCTAAACTAAGATAATTATCAGAGACAATGGATTGAATTTCGCCATCAAAGACTTGATGCCAGGAATATTTCTAAATCTGAGCACGCATTTAGATGTTGTACTTGCTGGCTGGATTATATAGGAGCAGCCAATTATTTAGTTTGCTTCCAATTTTGCTGTGCAATTCGGGCATGCAGGCAGGTTTGGGAGCTGGAAGGCTAGAGTGCGAAGTGAAGGTTGACTGGCAGCCCCATTGCGGACACAGTAGAGCAGTAGGACACATAGTTGTGGCAACTGCTTGTTTGAGGATTTTTAAATACTTTCATGCTATCTGGGTATCGCTGGTAAAGCAAGAATTCGCTACCCAAATCTAATTGCCCTTGAACTTGCTCAGCCATTTCAAAGGGCAGTTAAGAGATAACCTAAATGCTGTAGATTGTGAGTCACATGTTGGCCAAAGCTGGATGGCAGATTTCCTTATCTGAAGGACATTTATTTTTTTTAAACAACCAGTTTTTTAAACTTCCAGATTTTATGAATTATCGTAGAGTCATACAGCATAGAAACGGACCCTTCAGCCCAACTTGTCCATGCCGACCAGGTTTCCTAAACTGAACTAGTCCATTTTTCCTGCATTTAGTTCATATCCCTTTATACCTTTCCTATCTGTGTACCTTTTCAAATAGCTTTTAAATATTGTAATTGTACTCGCCTCTAGAACTTCCTGTGGCGGCTCATTCCATATACACATCACCCTCTTTGTGAAACATTTGACCGTCAGGTCCCCTTTAAATCTTTCCACTCGCACCTTAAACCTAGGCCTGCTAGACTTGGACTCCCCTACCCTGGGAAAAAAAAGCCTTGGGTTATTCACTCTATCCATGCCACTCCTGATTTTATAAACGTCTATAAGGTCACCTCTCAGCCTCCAACACGCCAGAGAAAAAAGTCCCAGCCGATCCAGCCACTCCTTATTACTCAAACCCTTCAGTCTCAGTAACATCCTTGTAAATCTTTTTAGCACCCTTTCCAATTTAATAACATCCTTCCAAAGCAGGGTGACCAGAATCATGTGCAGTTTTCCAAATCTGGCCTTACCAGTCTTATACAGCCTTAACATGACGTCCTAACTGCTGTACTCAATGCTCTGAACAGCAAAGACAAATATGCCAAATGCCTTCTTCACCACCCTGTCTACCAGTGACGCCACTTTCACAGAACTATGTGCCTGCACTCCTCGGCCTGTCTACTCGACAGCACTCCCCAGGGTCATACCATTAACTGTATAAGTCCTGTCTTGGTTTGTCTTACTGAAATGCAATACCTCACATTTATCTAAAATAAACTCCATCTGCCATTCCTTGGCTCACTGACCCAGTTGATCAAGATCCCATTGTACTGTTTGATAACCATCTACTCTGCCCACTATACACCAATTCCATCTGCGAACTTACTAACCATGTATCCTATATTCACATCCAAATCGTTTATATAAATGACAAACAACAGTTGACCAGCACCAATCGTTGCAGCACACCATTGGTCACAGACCTCCAGTCTGAACAACAGCTCTGTACCACCACCCTCTGTCTCCTACCATCAAGCCATTTTTATATTCAATTGGCTAGTTCCCCCTGGATTCCACGTGATCTAACCTCATGAACCAGTCTACCATGAAGACCTTGTTGAAGGCCTTGCTAAAGTCCATGATAAAGACAACGTCTACTGCACTGCCTCAATCTATCTTCTTGATCACCTCTTCAAAATACTCAATTAAGTTCGTGAGACATGATTTCCCAGACACAAAGCCATGCTGACTGTCCCAAAGCAGTCCTTGCCTTTCCAAATGCATGTAGATTCTGTCTCTCAGTATCCCCTCCAACTACTTACCGCCACTAACTTTATGGTCACCAGTCTATGATCCCCTAGCTTTTCCTTGCAGCCTTTCTGAAATAATGGCACAACATTAGCTACCCTCCAGTCTTCTAGCACCTTACCCATGATGATGCAAATAGCTCTGCTAGGTGCCCCAAAATTTCTTCCCTGGTTCCCACAAATGAACTGGGATACATTTGATGAGGTCCCAGGGATTTATCTACATTTATAATTCTACCACAGCCAGAGTGGGATCTGAATATATGCCCTGAAAGCATTAGACTTCATCTCCGGAATACTGGTCTGGTGATGTTACCATAATGTCACCATTTCCCCTACTCACCCATGTCTGAGATTACTGGAATGTTTTCATTCTCTAATAACAACAACTTGCTGTTCAAAAATCCACTGGAAGTCTGTGAGAAATATTAAGAGGAATAGATACCAAGGACCTTCCCCTCACAAAATCCAGATAATAGATCAATTAAAAAAAAATAAGTTGACATGTCCAACTTCTATATTACATTTTATTGCTAATGTACTTATTTCAGATGTGGATGAATGTCTTGATAGTAATTCATGTGCCAGCAATAATTCCATCTGCACAAATACTGAAGGCTCTTTTAACTGCACATGTCTCAAAGGATATGAAGGAACCAACTGCACAGGTGAGGAATACATTTATATTGGCTGGAATTATTGTTGCTGGAATAATTGGTCTTGTAACGGTAGTTGTTCAAATTGACTTTCTGCTTTAAATAAAATCACTAGTTTAGTTAGTTTACTCTATACTGTAGGATAAATTTTCTACTCCTCATTAGAGTGTGAAATTGGAAATAAAATTAGTCAGTTTTGATTACAGCACTTAAAGATCAATGTGCCATCAATACTTTCTCTCATACCTATTCCATGTAACACACCTTTTGTTATGGAGGTTCCATTATCTGACTCCCCATGCTTTCAACCCCTGATCTATATTGGTTTGGAACGGTTGACAATGTTATACTAACCATTAGCACTACCGTACCGTAGTGTTCTCTGCTACATTAGAATTAGAATTAGAATTAGCTTCAGTGGCACCTGCACTCGAATGAGTGCAGTGAAAAGTTTGCCCCTTATGGTGCCATCTTCAGTACAAGGTACAGATACTTCAGTATTTGGTACGTTAATGACCACCCATTTGTTTGAAGTAAGTGAATAACTATTTCAATTCAAAAAGCATAATGACAATTTGACATGAGCCATGAATATTGCAGCCAACAATTTCATCATATCTTTTAAATTCTCTCTTTCTGTAACAGGGAAGCATTGGGAGGGGTGTTGATGGGTTATGTTTCTTTTAATGAAGAGTGGACTTGTGATGGAAAACTGTGGTTTTCAGTTTCTTAGTAGTATAGTTTTTCTTAGTATCCCTACAGTATGGAAACAGGCCCTTCGGCCCTACATGTCCACAATGGCTCTCAGAAGATCCCACCCAGAATCATCCCCCTATAACCCACCTAATATACACATCCCTGAACACTATGGGCAATTTAGCATGGCCAACCAACCTAGCCTGCACATCTGTGGACTGTAGGAGGAAACCGGAGCACCCAGGGGAAACTCACGCAGACACGGGGAGAATGTGCAAAATCCACACAGTTAAATTCCTATTGTTTGTGGCTGAATGAGGTCGTGACAATTTCAACAACTGATCCTCGTTAACTTGCCGCTGGCTAACTTCTCACCTGGAACAGGGAATTTGCTGCCATCTGTAGAAATGCCGGCATTGGCATTCGGAATTGCATGGAGATGGTGTGGGTTGGGGAGGTGGAGAGGATTCTGGAGCTAGAAAAGGCTTAAACTTTCTTTCTGACATTCTCAGAGACATTTATATTGAATGACCTTCCTTCTCAGTTGCCTTTACATGGCCAGTAGGCCATGACAACATCTTCACTAAAATCAGAATTAATATTGCAGTCAGGAAGAAATATTTCATTGAACATGTGACAACCTCTGACATCTTCCTGTGACAAGTCTAGTAATGATGCAATATTTAATTAGGCAATTTTGTGTCAGGTTGCTTGCAGGATCATGTGGATGGGAAAAGAGGATGTGAGAGTCCCTTATGCGCATGTATAATAATACTCGATCCAGCTTTTAGAAGGGGTCCCGATCCTAAGCTGTAGATTGGTGTCCTATCAGCAGCAGCCATTTGTCTCCCTGGTGGTGCTGCCATTTAATAGAGCTATCTGTCCTTTATAACCTGTCAGCTCGCAAGGATTTGTGCTCCTGGGATCCTTGATCCCAAAACAAGCCTTAACAGTAGCAGTATTCAATTTTTAAGAAAATGCTATTCCTAGCATTTACGAGGCCATGATATCCCTCTCCCTAATATGTTGTATAAGTGAAAAAGAAACATCAATGTGGGACATTACATTAATAGGAACCTTGGAGAGAAAGTATGTGATCAGATGATGGGGCTGATCAAAATTAACCAAATGATCTTGAAACATTCTGCTATTGTGCTTTATTTGGTGCCATACTTATTCTATATTTTGAGATATTAAATATTTTATATTTTCCCATCTTAAATGAATACAGATATTGATGAATGTGCAGAAAATCAGAACAATTGTCCCTTGAGTTCTGTGTGCAACAATACAGCTGGCTCATTCATATGTCAATGTAAAGACGGCTATGAAAGTCCTAACTGCACTGATATTGATGAATGCACCAGATTTCTGTTTGACTGTCCAAGTAACGCCGGCTGTGAAAACATACCGGGTTCATTCATCTGTTCCTGTCTGCCTGGATTCAAAGGAAATGCAACATTCTGCGAAGGTACTGATTGTTTCACCATTTATTTCTTACCTTGTTACAATTCTAATAAATTCAAACATTATTGTAAACAGCTTCACCCTTCTTTAAAATAATTGTTAACAGAATATTCTAGAAATGTGTTCTGAATTATAATGTCATCGTGTATTTGAAAGTTTTTCATTAATGTGTAACCAATTAAACAAATCCTGAAAAAGGCTTTTAAGTTCTATAGATGCTGAAAATCGAAATAAAAACAGAAGGTCGTGGAAATACTGAGCAGGCCAAGCATCATCTGTAAAGGGAAAGATAGAGTTAACATTTCAGGTCAATATCTTTTATCGGTTCTCATGAAAGTTCATCAAATTGAAGCAGTCATATAGAGTTTTGTCTGGAGATCCTAAGTCTGCCGTTGGGAGGATCTGTGTATCAGTACATGCTAACACCCGGTTCCAAAAGGTGATTTTTGAAGTAACAACCACTGCAGTGACTAACTCCAGGTGCCTTGTATAATTACAGCCAACAGGTCAGTTTCTGAACCAGGAAAAATGAATAAGAGGCTTTCCAGCATTGAGAAATTGACAGCCCTATAGTATCAGAGGTGAGGCTGCTGATGTAGGTAGGAGAAAGGGAGGGTACCTCAAGATTAAGAAGTTTCACAATTTCTAAAATGAAAGAGGCCATAGCTGCCAGGCTGGCCTCGTGGAGAAGCAGCCATTCTTTTGAATGGTCTCAGAGACTTTATGGCTGTAGCAGGTATATTGCATGGAGGAGATGGTTCCTAGTTAGAGGGTGATTCAACCCCCACCCCAGTTCTGCTGGTTGTTGACCAAATCCATCCTTGGCCAAGTTTTGATCTCAGAAGGAGGCCCACATGCTAACAGTAAAATTCCAGTCGGAGTGCACAGTGAACAGACCCTTAGCATAGCTGAATGGACTACCTACTACTTGCAGGATCTTGGTTCTGCCTCCATAAAAACTGCCCAGAGGCAAGGTGACGATAGAAGACTAGCATACCAGCTATTAAACTGAGGGAGGCAGTAACATAGTGGAAAAGACACTGGACCCATAATCCAGAGACTCAGGCTAATGTTCTGAGAACACGGGTTTGAACTGTCATGCTTTCACAGCAGACAATGAAATTTGATTTCAATCAAATCTGGAATTAAAACCGAGGATAATGATGATTACTGTCAATTGTTGTATAAACTCATCCACTTCACTAATGAACTTTAGCCACTTTTCCAGGTCTTGCTACATTTGACACAAGACCTACAGCAATGTGGTTGAATCTTATTTGTTCTTTTAAATGTCCTAGAGAACCAATCAGTTCAAAGACATCTAGGCATGAACAACAAATGTCAGACTTGCCAGTAATGCCCACATCTCAAAGAAGAACAATTTTGAAAACATCAGAAACCAGAGGTCCATCCACCTCCAGTCCAACCTCGACATCAAAATGAAAATTCACCCTGTTAAGTACAGCCTAACTATTAGAGAACTAACATTTTTTTTGTTAAAGTAGCTCTGTAATGCTACATCAACATAATTTTAGTGAATAATTTATCCAAAAGCAAAATATGCATCAGCATCTTCCTACTGAAATATCACAGATTTACTGGGAAAATTATGGGTAGATTTTCTTTCCATTAACTGAAATGGAGGGAAAAACGATTAGGATCACTCTGTAAGTATGCATTTCTCCTTACTGATTTTCTTCTATTCACTACACACAGACAATTCATTCACCAGCAGGATACAATCAGGAACATCTACCATGGAATACATGACTCTATGATAATTATGGATTTAATTTGGCTAAATAAAACGTGATTATTTAAATAGAATATTACCGAGTGGAATTTTGTTGTACTGCAGATATTGATGAGTGTGCAGAGAAAATAGCATCGTGTCCTTTCAATGAGACCTGTGAAAACACAATTGGAAATTATACTTGTATTTGCCCCGCTGGATCTGAAAGAGTCAATGGTTCTTGCCAAGGTAAATGCCAAAATGCTCTGTTAATATCTGTCTTTAAATGAGGATGCGGCACAGGTATTCTATAAAGACTCCACTGACAGCAATTCTGAAAATATATTAGAACAACACTATAACTGGAACACCCTGCCATCTTTAGTATTGTTCCCTTTGGGGTGAATTTTCATGTTTTTCCAGAGATGGGCAATGGCAAAGCAGCCACTTATTTTACACACAATCCAAATTTCATTTTCACATGGTTTCAGCGAGAAAGGAAATTGAATGGCTCTGCTTGGCATGAAATTTCACCCTTTTTTATCAAATCCATAAAGTTGTCTGTGTAGATAATAGGTCCTCGAACTCTGGCTTCTATTTTCTCATTTAGGGCAGCTGTTTCGCAACTGAGCAAAGTCACAGAGGTGCGTGCACAGTGGTATGAGCTGTCTCACTGAATCATTCAGGCTGAGACTGTTTTCATCAGTGAAATTGAAGAGCTCCAGCCATGCTTAGAAGAAAGATCAAAGAATCCAAGAATCCGTACAGTGAGGAAACAGGCCCTTCAGTGCAACAAGCCCTCACCAACCCTCAGAGCACCCACCCAAACCCATCCCCCTATAACCCACCCAATGTACAAATCCCTGAACACTAGGGGCAATTTAGCATGGCCAATCCACCTAGCTTGCACATCTTTGGACTATGGGAGGAAACCGGAGCACCTGGAGGAAACCCACACAGACACGGGAAGAACGTGCAAACTCCACACAGACAGTTGCCCAAGGATGGAATTGAACCCGGGTCCCTGGCGCTGTGAGGCAGCAGTGCTAACCACTGTGCCACCGTGCCGCCCAAAAGATGTTGCAAAGTTTTTCTTCTCTCCAAGTGTGCTATCACTGCTGGATATGTTCTTAGAAGGCATTTCACTCAACATGCAGCTGCACTTTTCTGTTACCTAATTTCACCATGGAAACAACTTATGCAGTTTCATCATGAATGAGAGAAAAGAAATGAAACCAATAGCACCAGAAGCAGCACGAGCAACACCAGCTGCCTTTGCCTCAGCCTCATATCCTTGCAAAGAGTAGAGACGATGGACGTTGAGATCCAGCTGAAAGAGTTGAGTCCACTAACACTGATTTCACAAGCAGACAAATGTTGACATATTTCAGAGCTAGCATCTCAGGATGCTTCGGCTCTCATGGCATCTGTACGCTTACCACACCATGGGTGATTTGGTAATGGAAAGAAAAACAATTCAATTGTGTGTAAGAGCACTCCTGGATATAAAGAAAGAAAAAATATGTACACTTGCCACCTGAAATGCAGAACATTCACTTCTCCTGCCATTCTGATGTTTCCGATCTTCTTACTGCACTGTTCTCACCTTGAAGTGACTGTATTTCTGCTGTTGGCATTCTCAGTTGAACAAACATACATAGCAGAAGGAGATCATGTGGTTCCACATGCCTGCTGCACCTTTCAATATAATCATAGCTGTTCTGTCTCTATTTCAAATTTCACATTCCCATTTATTCTCTATAACCCTTGATTTTCCTGCCTAAGAAGAATCCACCTGTCTTAAAATATTCAGTGACCTTGCCTACAATCCATTCTAAGGCAAACAGTTCCGAAGTTACAGACAAAAACAAAGTTGCTGCAAAAACCCAGCAGGCCTGGCAACAACTGTGAAGGAAAAAACAGAGTTAACGTTTCGGGTCCGGTGACCCTTCCTCAGAACTCAGAAGTTTTTGTTCCTAATTTACAGCATCCATAGGTCCTTCAGTTTTTGTTCCGAAGTTACATAACTCTCTGACAGAAAAAAGATTCTCCTCATTTTTGTCATGAATGGCCGAACCTAATTTTAAAACAGTGCTCCCTGGTTCTGGATGGATGTGCAACAGGACACATTTGGCAGAATCCTCCTAGACATGGCTGACATGGCTATTGGTGAGAAAGTTAGAAGACAGAAGAAAGAAGACTAAAGTTGAACAGATAATCATGGATTGACACTGGTATATAAACTAACACACAGGGCAGTACTCAGATCATAGGACACTGACTGACATTTGCTCGAAGAAACCATGTCAAGTAGAAAGCACACCAGCAGCTAATCAGCTGCCTAACTAGTGTTTGATCTGGCAGACTTTCTGGCAAAGATACGCTCCAGGTTTTTGCCTTTAAATTTTCCCTCTTACAGTCTTAGTCTAAAAATGGGTAAGACCCAGCCTGTATTCCAGTTTATCCCTATTCATTTTGAACTATTCAACCAGCAAAACAATTAAAGAAAATCCAACTTGTTACACAACTATCTTCTTTTGTTGAAATTTCAGATATCGATGAATGCCAAAACCCAGCAGAATGTTCAGAGAGTGGGCAACGCTGTGTAAATACTGAATATTCTTTTAAATGTGAATGCAAGAATGGATTTATGAACATTAATGGAACATGTGGAGGTATTTAAAAATTGTAAAATAGCTTCACCTGATATTATTGACAATCAGCTATCTGTTATAAGTAACATTTTGGAATTAATTTTCCCCGGGACTGTTACATTAGTGTAATGTGGTTTTGAACCAATGGTGCGATTCTAAAATTACTATAATAATTATTTTGTTGAAGTTACTTATTTGATTTAACCTTGAATAGTTAAAATACATTGAGGTGGCCTTCCAGCAGGTTCCTGGAAAGGGCCTTTGATTCTTGCTACGCTGTGTAGCTCATTTGGGTCACATTTGTTAAAGAATACCTCTCAGTTCCTACACTGTCGCTGGAGAGTTCACCCCATGATCCCTCATCCCTGAGCCTGACTGCCTGGATCCAAAACTCTGGGGATAAAAATCTGACCCAGTCTTCAAGGGCATTTTAACTTTGAGGAGCCATCTTCTCCTTTCAGCCTCATAAGCGGCCACTTCTATCAAATGACACTGCTGAGGCTATTGAGTTGCTGCTCCCTTAATGGTGCTGACCTCTCTGAGAGGCATGTCACCTTCTTTAACTGGATGTCAGTCCTGGTGTCACCCTCTTAATTGACACCCACCAGAGAATCCTACCCAGGGCACAGGACTTTTGTCAGTACTGCTGTTATGTGTTGCATTGTCTGTAAAAATAAAAACTACTAACTAATTATCAAGGAACTATTCTATGTGTAAATGTTCCTATTGGGTTACATTCACAGCTAAGCAGTCTACTAGTACAAGCAGTGTGAAAATTTAGAATTAAACAAAAGAGCTTTCATCTTTCCAAGCTGCAAGAGTGATTACGTCAAACAACTGACAACGATAAACAATCAGAACCCATAAAACATACACCGGGGCTACCTAGTTTTGGGATGATGCAACCTTATGTCTGTGAGCTTGGAGAGTGATGTTCACAATTAATTCATGAGAATTGCAAAGCCCATACAGTAGTTTTCAAACAACAACACACACTGAAAAATAAACCAGACGGAAAGGCATGACAAGTTTTCTCCTCAATAGCTTGAGGCTGCTAAACTCAACTACAGGACTCACCTAAGAACAATCATGTCAACAAAGGTGATAATAGGTCTGGGCTCTTCCAGGTTTGTTTGGGCTTTTCTGTTACACCAAACATTGTACTTCCTTATTGAACTGTCAACTGACTCAATTTGTAAACTTGACTCATACCACTATTAGTACCATGAAATGGAGCTATACTCATGGAGGAGGTGTACACTTCCATCTCAATGTGTTCTTTCATCCTACTGTGCATTTTTTCCTCTGCTTGCTAAAATGTGTAAGTATCACAGAAGAACAACTGGAGAAAGATAAGTTATTAAATTGTCTTATCATTGCACCCCAACGTGTCTTTGGACAATTCAGAATGGTGATGGCGGGGTGGGATGGTACAGGTCGCTGCTGGCATCAATTCAAATGATGCTAGTGGAGAAATGTGAAAACCTAAACCTTTTTGTTTCAGTTTTTTGGGGAAAAAAACAATGAAATCACATAAGATAGTCCTTTTCATGACCTTGTCACTATATAAAGACAATATGCGAGCTATATGAGTGGATACCCATTTGCTGATATCAGAAATTATATTCTGCAGATATAAATGAATGCCTTAATGCAGAAGAAAACAACTGCTCTAAAACACTAGGGATCTGCGCTAACTTGGAGGGTTCATATGCCTGTCAGTGCAAGGCTGGTTATACTGGAGATGGCATTACTTGCAATGGTAAGCGTGAAAAGACTCAATCTATATCTTTTTATTTTAGCTTTTGCAAAAGTTACAGTTCCTAGAAAAATAGTGTAAACCGTGCCAAAAGTGAAAAAAAATATACTTTTGCCTTCTCTTTGTGGATAAAATCTCAGGACAAACAATGAAATATTTTAGTGTATAGGTGTGAGGCTGCAAAAGCACAGCAGATCAGACAGCATCAGAACAGCAGGAAAGTCAATGTTTCAGGCTGAAACCCTTTGTCAGGAAATGGCCCGAAATGTTGACTTTCCTGTTCCTCTGATGCTGTCTGACCTGCTGTGATTTTCCAACCTTACACCGATAGATTCTGGCTTCCAGCATCTGCAGTCCTTATTGTCTCCAATGAAATATTTTATCTTCTCAGAAATCGAAAACCTTCATCATTTTGACTTTTTTTCCAAGATATGTGTAAAAACATGAAAGCTGGATATTTATCTGATGGAAAATGTTGGAAAATTAGAGGTCTGAAAATTTCACCCAAAGTCACAGAAGGAAGACATAATGAAATATCATTAACGTTATTGTATATCATCTTAATTCCCCTCGAGTTAATAATATTATATATCTGCTTTCTTCCATTAGATACAGATGAATGTGCTGGCAGTAATATCTGTTCGATGAAAAGCAATACAATGTGTGTCAATACTGTGGGATCTTACAACTGTACATGTCAAAGCGGATATGATGGCCACAACTGCAGAGGTGAGGAATTGAATTATGTTCAGGCCTGTGCCCTTGAAAACATTGACAGCGTTAGTTATTGTTAACAGAACTTTACCAATTCTGAATTAAATCACCAACATAACAACTTTGGATCTAAAGTTATAAAATATATATACAAACGATGGATTTGAATAATGTTGTCCCTATGACATATTGCATTTCAATTATGTTTTCTTCCAACAAAACTCCTCTTGTGATATAAACAGAGGTGCATTATTATTTAGAAAGCTAGGTAAGGGCTCATAAAAGAGATGGAAAAAGGAATTCTATATTAGTTAATGATTTCATAATTTATACTTCCCAGCAAGGTAAACTTACCCAGTCACAGTTATTGTCAACTTAAAACCCCAACTAAAAGAAATCTCAGATCATTAAAGCGACGCGGCCCAGGAGTTTTCAAATCAGCAACAGTATCCCAGGGTAGAATATATCAACAGTTTTATAACAGCACAAACAACTTATTTTTCACCCTATGATATTCAATGGCAGTACCATCACCAAATCCCTCACTATCAACATCCTGGGGATTACCACTGACCAGAAACTAAACTGGACTAGCCATTTAAATGCTGTGGCTACAGGAGCAGGTCAGTGGCTAGAAATACTGCAGCAAGTAACTCATCTCTTGATTGCTCAAAACCTGTCCACCATCTGTAAGGCACACATAAGGAGTGTGATGGAATACTCCCCACTTGCCTGGATGAGTGCAGATCCAACAACTCTCAAGAAGCTTGACACCATCCAGGATGAAGTAGCCTGCTTCATTGGCACCATATCCACAAACATTCCTTCCTTCCATCATTGAAGCAATGAGCAGCAGTTGTAGCACTACAAGGTGCATTACAGAAATTCATTTAGGATCCTGAGGCAACTTCCAAACCCATGACTACTACGATCTAGAATGACAAGGGCAGCAGATACATGGAAGAGCAAAGGCTGCGAGTCCCCTCCAAGTCCCTCACCGTCCTGACTTGGAAAGTTTCATCCTTTCCTCAGCGTTGCTCAGTCAAAATCCTGGAATTCTTTCCCTTACATCATTGTGAGAATGTGGATTGCAGCGATTCAAGAAGCCAGCTGACTACTGTCATCTTAAGGGGAACCAGAGATGACAATAAATGCTATCCAATCCAGTACCTTTCACGTCCCATGAATAATTTAAAAATAGCCAAGAATGATACCTATCCATGTATGGGAAATCCTGATCCTGACATAATTCTGTATAGTCCGAGAGGAATCTCAGTGACATTTTGTCTCTGTCTTGATTAACCTCCAGGTGATATTCTCCCCATTCAGAAAGAGCAGTGCTTGAGGCCACAATAACTGGAATTACAGCAGTGTCATGAAAAAGAGACAACAGGGAAAAGCATAGACATACTGTCTTAACTCTATGCGACCATGATCAACAGTATTCACTGCCAGAAGCATCACTGGCAATCTTTCTGTGCTCTGATGGACAATAAAATGATTGAGAGAGACAGGCTAGGAAAGGTTTTGAGTGCAGTCAGATATGCCAAGGGGAAAGGTCTGAAGTTTTTTTGTTCCAGTTGCAGATTTTAATAATTGTGAAAGGCGTAGTTATCAGAACTTCCCTTGTCGTGAATTTCAATCTAATTTTGAAAAATATGCATTCTCCATGGGACATTAAAACTCTTCCCCATAACCATTTCATTCCCACTGCTCCAAGTCTCTGAAGTTCTAAGACCTGATCCTTCTATATTTGTTAAAAATGTATCTTGCAATTTTTTAAAAAAAAAATTATTCATTCCCTTTCTCCCATGCTTACTCGAGATCAGATTAGATTTCCCCACTACCAAGTCACGTGGATCAAGATTGCAGCCTACAACCCTCTTGATCTTTCAGGGATCACAACTGTCCCACTACTTCCAACCAAAACTGCCACATAGATTTGAGAGCTCAATCTATCAATAGGATATTTCTATCCTTTATTTGCAGTTTGTTTTGAGACTTGTTACTGCAAATGCAACATAATATTGAATTTTGGTGTGTAGATTATGCATTGTATCTTTGGAATTAACAGAAATCAATTAGATTCTTATGCACTTTTCCTTCAGATCTGGATGAATGTCTTAATGATGAGATATGTTCGTGGAAAAACAACAGCATCTGTGTCAATACTGAGGGCTCTTTCATCTGCTCATGTCAAACGGGATATGATGGATTCAATTGCACTGGTGAGGACTCAACTTATATACAAACCTTTATCCTTAAATGGGTTGGTCTGGTAACAGTTGTTGTTGACATTATTCTCTCCGTTTTGGAAAAGATTACCACTTCAGTAATGTTGTAGCCAAAAGTTAAAATAAAAATTATCTAAATGATTATGTGCTATGAAAGAAGACAATTTATAAGCGATCTGAAGAAGGGTCATAGGCCCCGAAACATTGTCTGTGTTTTCTCTCCACAGATACTGCCAGACTGCTGAGCTTCTCCAGCAATTACTGTATTTGTTTCAGCTTTCCAGTATCTGCAGTCCTTTGTTATGTTTTGAATTTATAAGTAACTCTTTTCATATTATGTCACTTTCAAATTTACAGTGACATCTCATTATAACTTCTTAATTTTCTTGCTTCATCATTCCTTCCTTCTACCTAGCTCCTGTCTCTACAATTCCATCATCTTATTCTTTGATCCTAAACTATTCATCCAGAGACACAGGTAATGTTCTGGGGACCCAAGTTCAAAACCTGCCATGGTCAAATTAAAATTCAGTAAAAATTTTTGGAATCACAAGAATAATGGTGACCATGAAACTAGTGTTGATTGTCAGAAAAGTCCATCTAGTTCACTAATGATGTTTATGGAAGGAAACCGCCATCCTTACCTGATCTGGCCGACATGTGACTCTAGACCCAGAGTAATGTGGTTGACTGTTAACTGCCCTCTGGGCAATTGGGGATGGGAAATAAATGTTGACCGAGCTAGTGATACCACATCCCGTTAATGAACTAAAAAAAAAAAATTTGATGCTGGTCTTGTCTTTCTCTCTCCCAAATCCTCCCAATATTGCTGCATCCATACTTTCTCCCATACTGCCTATAATTCAGATTTTATAATTTCATAGGATTGTACAGCACAGAAAGAGGCTTTTCAATCCATCACGTTCATACCAGTTATCAACTACCTTGCTGTTCTAGTCACACTTTCCAGCACTTGGCCTGCAGTTGTGTATGCTATGGTACTAAGTGATCATCTAATCATTTTTTAAAAATTGTGTTCCTTCCCACTCTATAACCCTTCCAGGCAATGTGTTCCAGATTGCCACCACCCTCCAGGTGAAAGAATGCTTCATTAAATCCGCTTTAAAACTCCTTATTACATTAAATCTATATTGCCTGGTTATAGGGGTATTAAGAGGAGCTTTTCTTCCTATGCACCCTGTCCATGAACTTCATAATTTTCTATAGCTCAATATGGTTACCCTTTTCTGCTCAAACAGAAACAACCCCAGCTTATCTAGCTTTTCTTCAAAGTTGCAGCACTACAGCCAGCAACATCTTGGTGAGTTCCCACTGCACCCTCTCTAGTGTGTCACATCCTTGCTCTAGTGTGGTGAGCAAAACTGCAAATATTACTCCAGCGGTAGTCTCACTAATATTTTATAAAGCTCCATCATAACCTCCTTGTTCTTGCATTCAATGCGTCGACTAATAAAGACAAGGATCCCAAAAGCATTCATAACAACCTTATCCACTTGTCCTGTTCCCTTCAAGGATCTGTAGACATACACACCAAGGTCCCTCTGATTCTCTATAGACACTATAGTTCTGAGGAAGGGTCACCGGACCTGAAACGTTAACTGATTTTTTTCTTCACAGATGCCGCCAGACCTGCTGAGCTTTTCCAGCAACTTCTGTTTGTGTTCCATCTGATCCTCTGCTCTTCCTAGGGTCCTTAGTTGCACCGTTCATTGTGCACTTCCTTGCCTTGTTAGTCCTACCAAAATGCATCACCTCACACTTTTCAGGATTAAGTTCCATTTGTCACTGTTCAGCCTATCTCTCTATATCATCCTGTAATCTAAAGCATTTCTCTTCACTATTGACTACATCTGTGAACTTACTGAATCATTTTGCATTCATTCCTCGATCATTAATGTGCAAAACAAACTACAATGAACACTTCATCAAATGTTTCATTTTGCTTTTGGACACAGGCTTCCAGTACAAAAACAACCTTCAACCATCTCTTCTGGCTCCTGCCACTGAGCCAATTTTGTATCCAATTTATCAAATTGCCCTGGATCGCATCGGCTCTTCTTTTCTTGACCAGTATCCCATACAATACCTTGTCAAAGTCCATGTAGACTGCATCAACTGCACAAGTCTCACCCACACATCTTGTCACTTCCTTGAAAACTTAGTCAACCTATCAGACTTGATTTCTCCCTGACAAAGCTATTCTGACGATACTTGTTTAATCCTTTCCTCCCCAAGTGAAGATTAATTCTATCTTTCAGAATTTTTTCAAGTTGTTTCCTCGCTACTGAAGTTAGGCTCACTGGTCTCCTGACAACCCTTTCTGAATAAGAGAATCACATTATCAATCTATTACCATAATAGCATGACCATCATCCCTCTCTTCATCTTTACAGCAGCATTGATCTTGTATTTTTACTATTTCCTTTTTGAAAGACTCCCAATGATCCTGTTCTCAGCCCACTTTGGCCAGATCCCATCTTACTGTGTTAAAATTGGCCTTTCTCCAACTCAAAAAATTGATTTCTGGCCCATCTTTGTCCTTTTTCATGACTACCTTCAATCTTAGAGTTATGGTGACTGTTCCTGAAATGCTGTCCCACTGCCCCATGTAACACTTTCTCAGCTTCATTCTGAAATTTGTTCCAGCATTGCCCATCTCTTGGCGGACTTCTCTAAATGCTGCCTTAAAAAGCTGTCCTAGATACACTTTAAGAATTCCACTCCTTTAAGCCTTTCACACTTGTCTGTCACAGTTAATGCAGGGGGTTCTGCTGTAATGCCATAGTTGCGTTCCAGCGCAACATCACGTTATAGAAAATCGCACTATATAAATAAATGGGCCTGTGGGAAAAGTGGGGTTAGGGGCACAAAGGACACATAACAATTAGATTTTCCAAAATTCTTTCTCACCTGTATAGCTTTGTTCTTATAGCCGCAGCTATAATGACAGTTTATCAAACAGGTGATGTCACAAAGTGGCAATACATTTATGAATCTGTCCTTGTATTTGCAATGAAGTGATAGCTGGGCTTTAAATAGAGTTCTGCCACTAAAAATCCCAGCAAATGTCAGTACTGCATGATAGTGCGAGCATGATCCAAAAGAGGTAAACAATGCAAAATTGTGTGAGATAGAGCTCACACCCAGCAACCCTCCACAAAACTCTTCCCAAAATTGACACATTAGTAATTTTTAGTAAAATTCCCTCCTCCATTTAAATGCTGATCTGACCTGACATTCCATCAGCACAGACTTCTGGAAAGTGAAGCAGAAGAATCTGACCTTTCTTTCCTGTGTAGCCCATTGGCGTTGAAGTTAATTGTAGGATTAAAATGCATTATAAACCTGAGTAACATTGTATTCAAAATAGTGCTGGAAAAGTGCAGTTTGTAACACAGACAACTTTTGGTATAAATGATGTACATGAGTAAGTTCAAAAATTCTTACATATTGAAAATATAACAAAATCGAAGCAAAAATATTACACACTAAGGTGCATGTTTTAACAGCACTCATTATTTTAAACTATACTTCACTTTTTACTCATACCATCAATTTAGCATTGGAGTCCATTCTTCTATTTAAATGAGCTGCATTTTTTAAATAATGCTGATGCATTTAATGTGTTCAGCATAAACTCTTCAAACTAAGTCTTCACATATTTTCCTAATAAGACAGTTGTTCTCTGTGTGATATTATATTTGAGGTATACAACATACAATGCATAATAGCCAATACAAGTTCACATCTTACAAGTAGTGTCCCCCTATTTGTCAATCGTGTTATAGCCAATTCGCTTGCTGGAATACACATTATTGGAAAGCCCCCTGTATTGAGAAGTTTGAAATCCCCAATTGTTAAAGGAAATTCGATATATCCACAAGGACTATTACCTAATCTTTAAGAAATGGACCATAGAAAGCATCCCATCTGGATGCATCACAGTGTGGTGTGGCAACTACTCTTCCCAAGGCCGCAAGAAACTACAAAGATTTGTGAACGCAGCCCAGTCTATCACACAGACCAGCCTTCCATCCACTGAGTTCATTCATTCCTCCCTCCCGCTGCCTTGGGAAAGCAACCAAATAAACAAAGACCACTTCCACCCTAGTTATACTCTCTTCCAGCCCCTTCCATCAGGCAGAAGATATAAAAATGTGAATACCTGTATGAACAGATTTAAAAGCAGCTTCTTCCCCACTGTTATCAGACTTTTCAACGAACTTCGAGTGTTAAATCTGATCTCGCTCTCTCGCTGCATCTTCTCCGTGGCTGTAACACAATATTCTGCACTCTGTTCTGCTACCCTGATGCACTTTGTATGGTACAATCTGCCTGTATAATACACAGAACAACTTTTTTTTTAAACTGTATTGCAGAACATGTGACAACAATAAATTAGACTCAAACACAAAACTCATTAATACGCTATTTTGTTTCCACGTTTCCCTGAAATTTCTCTAACTCTGCCTTCTATCTCACCCGGTCTTCCCAGATTTATCATTTCTACTGCAGTTATTGACTTCATGATCAAAAGTGAGAATCTTCCTCGTCTGAATAAAAACATAACTTTGATAATATTAGAGAAAGATTTGCTTTAAAAAACATACAAATTAAAATATATTTGGTTCTAGTCAAAAGTGATCAATTTGAAACATCATCACAAATTGATCAAAATTAACAGTTTAATCTACTCGTGGGGTGTGTACAACCTCATTTATTAAAATGCAGCATTTGATAATGAAATGAAATCTACTGATTACCAGCAATTTCTTTCCAATGAAAAGCAAAATTTTCAATTGATTTTGGCATTATCTTTGCAGATGTGGATGAATGTCTTGACCCTTATGTGTGTTCCTGGAAAAACAATACCATGTGTGTCAATACTGTTGGATCGTACAACTGTACATGTCGAGCGGGATATGAAGGTCCTAACTGCACAGGTGAGGGACGTAATTCTGTACAAGTCTCCCTCCTTGTAAAATACCAACCGTGCTCCAGACGTTGTACACATTAGCCCTTCTAATCCAACAAAAATAAGATGAAGAATATCTTTCTATTGACATTTAGAAAAGACGCATACAAATGATGGGAGGAGAATCAGTCCACATGGCATATTGACTTCATTCAAATTTTTGAACTTTGCAAACAAATTGGTGTATTGACGCAGGTGGGAATGAGTTGTTCAAGATAGCCAGTTGTGCTTTTAAGAATGAGGATAATAATTTGCTAATTGGATAATGTTGTCAAGATGGCATATGTCATGCTTGCCTCCATTGGTCAGCGCGTAGATCACAGGAATTGGCAAGTGATGTCACAGTTGTATCGAACCTTTCTTAGGCCAATAATTGAAATTTTGTGTATAGCTCTGGTTGTCGCACTTCCAGAAGGATGTGTAGGCTTTGGAGAAGGTATAGAAATGGTTTACCTGGATTTTGCCTGGTCTGGAGGGTATTAACTATGAGGAGAGATTGGACAAACATTTTTTTTTCACTTCAATGTGAAAGGATGAGGATTAACCTGATAGGAGTTTACAAAATTATGACATGCATAGATAGAATCTTTTTTCCTAGGGTGGAAATGTCAATTTCTAGGGGATTTAGGCTTAAGATAAAAATGTGTTGAGTGTAAAGAGACATCGGAGATATGTTTTTTGTACAGAATGTGGTAAGTGCCTGGAATGTGCTGCCAGAGGAGGTGGTGAAGACAGATCCAAAATTTTCAGAGGCATCTTGACAGATATATGAATAGGCTTGGAATAGAGGGATATGGACCATGAGGAGGCAAAATGTTTTTACTTTGGAAAGGCATCCTGTTTCAGTATGGGCCAAAGGGCCTGTTCCTGCGCTGTACTGTTCTTTGTTCTAATTCCTTGAAATCTACTCGAGTTTGACAATTTATGGGAAGTAACTGATGCTGCTTAACTCTAGAAGCTATCCAAAGCAGGCTGGCATTGTCCATAGATGCTCACATCCATCTTATCTTGCTTTAGTCATTGAAAAGTGACAAAATCGTTAGGTTTTCGGACTGAAGAATTGCCATCGCAAATTTTGCAATCAAGGTTAAACAGGTAATGGCTGAATTATTTGTCTTTAGATGGGTCAACAATCAGGAAGTTGGAAAACACACCAAGTACCTTGTCTGCTGTTCAAAGCAGAGGTGTGTGTATATGTCGAGATAGGACTAAAATTTTTTTTTAAATTCATTCATGGGATGCAGACATTGCCTGGTGAGCCAGTATTTATTGCCCATTCCTAATTGCCCAGAGGGCAGTTGCAAGTCAGCCACATCAACCACATAGGGCAGCCCGGTGGCTCAGTGGTTAGCACTGCTGCCTCATAGTGCCAGGGACCCGTGATCAATTCCACTCTCGGGCGACTATCTGTGTGGAGTTTTCACATTCTCCCTGTGTCTGTGTGGGTTTCGTCCAGGTGCTTCGGTTTCCTCCCACAGTCCAAAGGTGTGCAGGTTAGGTGAATTGGCCATGCTAAATTGCCTGTAATGTTCAGGGATGTGTAGATTCAGTGGGTTATAGGGAGATGGGTCTGGGTGGGATTCTCCGAGGGCTAGGGTGGACTTATTGGGCCAAAAGGCCTGTTTCCACGCTGTAGGGATTCTATGATTCACATTGCTGTGGATCTTGAGTCAGCAGTAGGCAGACTAAGTAAGGATGGCGGTTTCTTCACAAAAGGACATAAGTGAATCAGATTGTTTTCTTTTCCCCAACAATCGACAATGGTTATACAATTACCATTAGGCTAACTAGTTATTCCAGATTTTTACTGAATTCAAATTTTCATCATCTGCCATGGTAGTATTCAAATCCATGTTCCCCAGAACATTCACCTGGGGTTCTGGAATACCAGTCCAGTGACATCACACTACACCACTGCCTCCCCAAAGAAAATAGATTCTGAATGCAGTACTTTAGGCAGTCTTTAGGTCAGGACACAAGCAAAATTACAGGGTCTTCTGGTTCTGTGGTAGTGTCCCTACCTTCAGGTCAAAAGGCCAAGTACAAGTCCCACCGTCTCCAGAGGTGTCTCATTAACATCTCTGAATGGATTAATTTAAAAAAAAAAATCACACCAGCAGAATTAGGCACAGTTGACCTGATTTTCAAGAGGGAAGTAATATGGTTGTCACCATCATACTAATTCCAGAATAAGGTATTTTGTGCCCTCATTTGTTAATAGGGTTATCATGCTGTCAATTGACACATTCAAATTATCAAATCTTATGTGTCTGAAATTTGAGCAGTCAAGGCATGCTGGGATCTTTCTATCCTTCTTAATACCTTCTCTCCACCTGTTCAGTCATGCTCCCTACTCCACGCTATCTATGTATCTACTGATTGATAGACTGGCACCACAGTTACTGTTGAAATCTGGAATTCTTATCAAAAAGCTGTGGGGCTATTTCAGGGTGGGGGAAGGGAATGATTTTCCTGGAGGTGATAGACTGTTGCCAACTGGCTACAAGAGACCTGTGTTGGCTCCTTAGGCCATGGCCTACATATAACAGGCCAACCAATCAACTTTAACAAGCCACTGGCCAACCTTCCATAGGATCAAGACCCAGGGGTGGCCAAAACAAAACAGAGTTGTGGATGCAAGAAATGAGAAACAAAATCTGAAATTGAGGGAGAATTGCCACATCAGCAGATGTGACTGCTCCTGTGGAGAGAAAGCAGAGTTAATGTTTCAGGTCCAGTGACCCTTTTTCAGGACAGACCCTTGCCTTCTGAGAGCTGCCAGCCAATCAGCCAGTGTTCTCAGCAGCAAACAGTACTGAGGAAGCAGTGGCTGCTGCTGGAATGACACAAACTGGAGACCCAGGATTGCAGCGGTGTAGGCTAGAGGTGGGTGATGTTGGGAGGGTTTTCACAGAGGCAGGCATCATGAAAGACTGAGTGGGCAGCAATAGCAAGGAATGGCTCTCAATGTGACCCTCCTTTTTCTGATGTCAGGTCGTCTCCCTTAAAGGTCTCCATTTCAGCAGTGCGGGGAGGCAAGCAGGAGTTAATTCGGTGGAGGTAGGAAAGAGTTGGGGCTCCCCATGTGCAACAATCCCATCCGATTGAATGCTTGACAGCCTTCAAATCTGTTTTGGGGAGGACAAAATAAAGCATACCACCCCAAAACACTTGGGTTCAAGTCCTACCGGCAAATATTTATCAGCCCAAAAATCTGCCTTAGTAGGTTTTTGTCGGAGAACGTTGTAGTACCAGGGAAGATAGGTGGAATTAAAATACAAATAATCCCTTGATCGAAGTGAATGTCACGCAGGCTTAAGGGGTTGAAATAGCCCACTCTGGTTCCTAAATTTCTAGCAGAATGTTACACTACTTCTCAACATCACTTACCTAATGAGGATGAACCTGGCCACAGTCACCCAGCCACCCATAGTCGAGAAAACCTTCTTCTCATTTGCATGAGGCTATATATGCTACGTACTCAATAAGTACAAATGTAGATATCCTATGTGATGCATTATTTATCTGAGTCTTCCTAGCCATTCTTTGGCCTTCCATGTGGTTACCCAGTGCCTGCCCTACTCTTGCTAAACGTCCATAGCACAGCTCACCCATTGTTCCATTGGTAGCCTGTAATGGTCAGTGCGTTTAATGTAATTATGTCCACCATGCCTCACCATCATCTTCTAAAGTGCAGTTAGGGGAAGGGTAATAAATGCAGTCCCTTACATTGAATATGCATCCATGAAATATCTTTAAAAATCTCTCAAACCTCTCACTGAGAGTGAGCCTGATAGGGCACAGTCTTTGCTGTGACATTAATTTCAGACCAAAGCTAATCATCACCAAAACTGTGTTCTTCAAGTTATAAAGCGTCATTTACCCTGTGCCTATTTCACAGTCACTATCTTGGAATCCTTTAACTATGTCTTGTAATCGCTATTTGTATTTGTACCTTCCACTTTTTGCCCATTCATACCTTCTCACTTTTGCTTTATAAATCTCCTCAAAATGTACCTCTTTGACCAAAGCCTTTGCTTCCTTTATCTCTTACTTTGTACCTGCAAATATTTTTGGATGTATCATTACATTAAGCTGTTTGTATATTTGAATGCTTCTACAGGACTTCCTATAGTCACTGTTTCAACATCAAGTGTTTCAATTTAAAAAAAAAAGACATGAGGGCCAAATTTTTTTTCTACACAAAGTATGGTTCACGTGTGGGATGAGCCCTGAGGAAGTGGTGAATGCAGGCACAATTACAACATTTAAAAGACATTTGGATAAGCAGATGAATAGGAAAGGTTGGAGGGATATGGGCTAGGAGCAGGCAGGTAGGACTAGTTTAGTTTGGGATTATGTTTGGCATGGACTGGTTAGACCAAAGGATCTGTTTTCCATGCTGTATGACTCTGACTGTAAGTGCAACAATCCTTCAAACATCAAGTACTATTTCATTCTTTGTATCTTTAACAGATAATACCTTGGCTACAGCGACAACTGAACAGTCTACCTCAGGACCAGCAGTTACAACATCAACAAGAAGTGTCACAAGTACAAAACCAACTTTGATGACTGCAACAACCTCAACTGTAACAGCATCCAGCACAATGACCACAGAAAAGACCATAGGAACAAGTCCCAATGAAACAGCAGTTCCTGCAGTTACAAACTCAACAACAGGTGTCCCTACAACCACAACAAGCCCAACAACAACAGCCACCACAACTAAAACACCCAAAACTACTTC